CCTCGACTGCCTGCAACGCGCTACTTCCTTCTGGTCGTAGCCATGTCGGACGTACTCGCACTTCACTTCTTGTTCCTGGTCAAGAATGAAGGCAGCTGGAAGGAGATCGGCAACTCGATATCAATGTTTGGTATTGTGAACGCGCAGATCGTGTTCATTCCACTGCTTTTCCTGTTGGCTGGAGCTTTCGTCCGAGATCTGGCAAAAGTCACCGATGCTCAAGTGTTTCACGACAAGAAACATCAGTAGTATAGTTACTACATAGACGATAGAATGACGACGTTGACGTAAGAATAAAAACGAATTCATTGACGATACACAATTCGTTGAGTAATGTTTGAGTGCAAGAGAACGTGATGCTTTCATTTTTGCAATCGACCAGTTCGTCTAATACAGTCGAGGAACTGGTGAGTGCGTCGGGCTACTGCATCGCAGAGGAATAGGATTGTGGTACAGCATTTGGTTCCATTGGAATTCCGGAGAAATGAGGGCCTGCTCAAATACTCGAGATACATCTTCAAGGTTACCAAGTAGGTGCAAGATTGGCGTCATCATGTCGCTCTGTGCTATCACCCTCGTCACACGGCACGTTGAATCATCCCATTCGAAGCGTGTAGATCCGCGCATAACAAGTCGTTGGAGCAGAAGTTGCTCTGCCAACTTGCCGTTCCGATCGCTGTTGTCGATGGTGCGCAAGTGCGGAAACACGTTGCGCAGAGTGTGTTTCGTGATGGTCACACTGGTGGTTGTGATCGCAACCAGTGAATTACCATCCGTCAGCTCCCACCCCTTGAGCTCCACGTCCACCTCGCCGAACCAGTTCATGAAGAACCAATGCTGCATGATAGCCTCTGGGCCGTATGCTGCGTTGAACACCACATTTGGAGACATCATGTCTCGCATGAAACCTAGCTGGTTGCTGGTGAGGTGAAGACCATGGCGGATCAAGCGGCAGTATTCTGCTGCTGCACGCCATACATCGTTTGGTGGCTCCAGTGCTCGAGAGGTACGTAGGTGCTGGCGTTGTTGTTCGAGCGTGTCAATCTCTTCACGGAGATTTCGGATGTTTGTGGCAAAGAGAGTAGCTATGTCGTCTGGGTTGCTTAGGTATCGGTTCAGAACTTGTTGGAGGTGCTTCCGTTCCTCACTAAGCTCGAGGACCTTGTCGACCACTGCATAGTTTGCGCCCCGTTGCGTGGCTTGAGTAGATGATATCACAGAACGAGGTTTCCTGCGCTTAAAGCTGAAGCAGCCTGTAGTTTCAGTCTCCTTCCTTTTGTCGATGGCCCACCAGGCTTCATGAATCGGTATCGGCAGGTTATACTCGCACTCGATAACACTATCTACACGCTTTAAAACTCGAGTCAACTCTTCGTCTCTGTCAGTGGATCGATTGAAACGTGTGATTCCCATGTAGCACTTGTGTCCGTTACCTTTGGAATGCGATTTGATCTTTGCTCCTGGAAATAGAGAGTGCCATAACCCCACCATAGCCTTTGACTTTTGAGCCAAACAGCCCAGTGATGTGACTAATACTGTAATCGTGTTTTCGCAGTTGGGTTCCCTAAATGTGCATGTACTGTTCTTACAGACTGTATCCACAGTTAAGTACTGCAATATAGCACGGTAAATGGAGATGAGCACTCAATGCGTCATCAATGATTTGCAAAAAAGGCCACTCCGCTGGAGTGAGCTTTTCGCAAATCGTTGATGGCATGGGAGGGGCTGAGCCCAGCCGAGACGGAGCCTGGGCTCACGATTTGGTAAAGAGTCTTTTATCTTCGAGAATCCCCCCACACAAGAAAAGCTTGTTGATCGGCTAACATGTAAGCTTATTGAAATTCATTTCTCCACTCTGTTCTCGGATTTAGGCTGGGCTTGTTCGCAATGAACACCACCTTCCGTTTTCCGATTTTTCCGACGGCACCTCGATCGATAATGACTTCTTGTAGCCCTCGCTCGTGTCTCCGACCAAGAAGAACAAACTTTTTATTTTCAGAATGCTTGCGAAATATCCAGATGTTTTGTGGTTTTCACATTGTATGCCAAAAATGTATACTTCTCTGGAATTCGTCGTTCAAATATTACAGTTTCTAAGCAAATCGTTGCGCATATTGAACGACGAAATCCCTACATCGAAAGATTGCAAGTTTACAAATCCTAGTGAAATCGGCGAAATGTGAAAATGTACTGGAAATCGTCGTGCATTTTGCACGAAGCCTGTTATGCTGCTAATGCACGAGTCAAATAATAGTCACTGATCCATATATTCTCAATGACTGTTCAAGACAAGATATCACTATTAAAAAGCATAAAAAAATACCTCGTGCAACTTTGCACGACGAATTCCATTCATTTATCTATACGTTGCTAACCGTGAATTACCAACTCTAATTGTATCAGACGAAAGCAACAACACACCTGCGACCCAACACCGTTGCTACAACCTCATAGCAGCAGCCATCGCGTTGAAGAAGAGACTGCGAGACCAAGCTGCATCAACAGCCACACTGCATAATCGACCGCGTAAACCGCGACACCG